ATTTTATTTATTTGAGAGAGAGGGGGCATGAGCAGGGGAAGGGGGCAGAGAGAGAGGGAGAAGCAGACTTTGTGCTGAGTGTGGAGTCCGATGCAGGGCTTGATCCCAGGACCCTGAGATCATGACCTGAGCCAAAGTCAGATGCATAACCAACTGAGCCACCCAGGCGCCCCTCAAGAAGTGAAAGTTATTGAATAAGTAAACTCTAGGCCCATATCATTAAGAAAGCGGTGTAAAGGTACCAGACTTTAAAGCAGTTACATTTACAGGGTGGTCTGTGTCTTTGGAAGACATTTAAAATATTCCCTGGGTATATTTTTAAAAGGTTTTATTTATTTATTTGAGAGAGAGAGAAAGTGAGCGAGAAGGGGAAGGAGCAGAGTGAGAGGAACAAGCAGATTCCATGCTGAGCGCAGAGCCCAGTGCGGGGCTCGATCTCATGACCCTAAGATCATGACCTGAGCTGAAATCAAGAGTTGGATGCTTAACCGACTGAGCCACCCAGGTGCCCTTCCCTGGGTGTATTATTTTTTTTTTAATAATTTTTTATTGTTATGTTAACCACCATACATTACATCATTAGTTTTTGATTGTATTTTTTTTTTAAGATTTTATTTATTTATTTGAGAGAGAGAGAATGAGAGATAGAGAGCACGAGAGGGAAGAGGGTCAGAGGGAGAAGCAGACTCCCTGCCGAGCAGGGAGCCCAATGCGGGACTCGATCCCGGGACTCCAGGATCGTGACCTGAGCTGAAGGCAGTCGCTTAACCAACTGAGCTACCCAGGCACCCCCCCGGGTGTATTTTAAATAATTAACACAAATATTACAGTAGGTTGGTGTATTTTGTAAAATGGCAGCTAAAACTAGGAGAGAGAGGTACAAGTTTTCTACCAGAGTTAAAATGTACCAAAGTGGGTATAAAGTGCACAAGTGATAATCCAGTTACCCTTGAAAATGCTGGGAATACAGGGAAGCTGGTAATAAACTCCTGGGCTGGACAGATGATGCTGTGGGTCTTTGATCAGGGAATCTATGTATCTATTTAGATTTTAAATCCAAAAAGTGGCTTAACTGGAAGGAAGCAACCATAAACATATCAGACGGCAGCCAGATTGGAATTTAAACTTTGGTGCTTATAATCTCCATATAAAATATTTGACTTGATTATAGTAACTTCCTTAAGGAACTGATGAACTTCCTTGTACTGTTTTGATTCACTTTCGTTATTTCCAGTTTTAAGTAAAGTCTCATTGTAGTAGGTTACCAATAACAAATTTCTTAATATACTTGAATTTTATGGAAATAAATGTTATTTCAGTAAATGAGCTATTGCCTCTAACTTGGATAATCTTTTTTTTTTTAAGTTTATTTATTTTTAAGTAATCTCTACACCCAACATAGGGCTCAAACTCACGACCTAGAGACCAAGAGTTGCATGGTCTCCCAACTAAGCAGGTACCCCATAAGTTAGGTAATCTTTTTGATCTGCATAGATATGTGTTGTAATAGTAGTTATGACAGTATTTGTTGTAGTAGCATTTGGCTTTTCCAATTTAAGGGTTCATGTTCTTAAATCATGCCACCCCCACCTCCCAACACATACTCACACACTTCCCTATTATTAGCAGTATCTGAGAATTCTAACCATACACTGTGAAATCTTGTATCTAGGGGGAAAAACAGGATGAGACCACACCATTCCAACACTTGTAAATGCCCAGTGCCATGAGGGTCACTGCTAACATGGGCCTGTGTTTCCCTCAGCCTTGATCAAGGGTGTTAGTAGTATCCTGAGGGCTCTGCCTTCTCCGATGTCACTCCCTCTTGTGTTCAGCTAGGCGACTGATATCCCCAACTAGGATTTTTTTTTAACAATGATTTCTGGCCACCTTGGAACTCCATTTCCATTAATTTGTAGACAAGCCTTGGGGCTTTGAACTTGTTAGTTTGGATTGTGGTAAACTGCTGCTATCTTATCCTACCTTTCTCCTAAAAATTCCTCTTTGTGCTGTTGTGACATCATTGAACTGTTGGCCTTCAGTGGTGTTAGTAATATGAGCATTATCTTAGTATGTATAATTCGGAATAATTCTTTACTTTGGCTTTAAAATAATGTTTCAGGGCGCCTGGGTGGCTCAGTTGGTTAAGCGACTGCCTTCGGCTCAGGTCATGATTCTGGAGTCCCAGGATTGAGTCCCGCATCGGGCTCCCTGCTCAGCAGGGAGTCTGTTTCTCCCTCTGACCTTCCTCCCTCTCATGCTCTCTCTCTACCATTCTCTCTCTCTCTCTCTCAATAAATAAAAATCTTTATATAAATAAATAAAAGAATGTTTCAACTCTTAGGGATGCCTGGCTAGCTCAGTCGGTAGAGCGTGCGACTCTTGATCTTGGGCTTGTAAGTTTGAGGCCCACGTTGGGTGTGGAGATTACTTAAAAATAAAATCTTAAAAAAGAATGTTTCAACTTTTAAAGTAGTAATTCTGAACCTTCCTTTGTTTTCATAGGGAGCTGTTTGGACCATGAAATTTTCTCACTGTGGCCGATTACTTGCCTCAGCTGGACAAGACAATGTAGTGAGAATATGGGCTTTAAAAAATGCTTTTGACTATTTCAACAATATGCGAATGAAATACAATACCGAAGGTATTTTGATTTACTTGTGGGCTTTAAAACTCTAGAGACATCTGGCATTTTTACATTTTAGGTATAATGATGCCCTCTTCTCGGGCAACCATTTGCAGCAACCACTATTTTTAATAGTGGCCACAAACCTAAAAGTAGGACAGAAGTCAACACCAAAAAAGTACCTAAATCCCATGGAAAACGCTACCATAGAGCTTTTGACTTTATCCCTTTTGAAGTATAGTGCAGAGTTTAATTCATCAACTGTTGAGAACAAAGTCACTTGGTTTCCCCTGACAACCTTTAGTTCTCTCCTGGGTTTAAATGAAATAACCTGATTAATTTAGAAAAAGAATGAGGAGAATAATATCCATCCAGTAAGTAAAGAAAAAAGGAGACCCAACCATGAAAAGGAAATGTGATTTGTCAGTACATCAGAGGTATATGAAAAAAGGTTAAATGGCAAAGAGAAACCTGAGAATGTGATATATGTACACCATGATTACAACTATGTAAAATATTTCTGTATATTGGTAACTTACCAGGAAAGCATGTGGAATTGATATAAATAAGAGCTTTATATTTATGGGATTCTTCTCTTATAATTATTTAACTTTAATAAATTTTCTCCACAAGCCCCTCCATTCCACTCCCATCCTCACCCTACCCAACTAAGGCTGAAACCAAGAAGTTAAGGGATGGGAGAAAGGAGAATAGGTGGCCATGGGCTGGAGTAGAGAGTATGTTTGAATTACCAATTTGAGGAACATAGAAATCTGGGGAGATCCACTAAACTGGTAAATGAGGCCCTGTATACTTTAGTGGCCCTGTGGGTATTGCTTGCATTATGTTATAATACATAACTGAAGATGATAATGGGTTGGCAAAAACTTAAACTATGTTTACAATACATTTTTTTTTATTGCCCTGCCTAGAGCAGAAAGACTAGTTTCAGTGGCCCTTGAGACTTCTACCACCCCAGACCCTTTGTGCCCCTTTATTGTTCATCTTATTTGTATTCACTATGAATAATGAAGATTTTAACAATATTTTATTAAGTTGACGATATGGTTATAAAGATTTTATGATAAAAATGATAAAAACCGTTATTTTGGTGCCCAAAGAGTTAATGTCTCACTTATTTAGAAAATGTGTTTTTTTCAGAATGTTACATTGTATGACTATTAATTAGGTGTTCCTGTGTCATTATTTCTGATTGATGTGTGTGTGTACATACATGCCTTTTTTATAATTATTATTTTGTTTTTAGGACGTGTGTCCCCGTCACCTTCTCAGGAAAGTCTGAATTCATCAAAGTCTGATACAGATACAGGGGTATGTTCAGTATTTTATGGTTACTCTTGTTAAGTACTGTAATTTGATTTGTTTATCATGAAATACCTTATTGTCTATCAGAAATTAGAGTTACATGAAAGCAGTTAATACATTACAAACAAGAGGTTCTTCTATTAGAATTGGTAGATGAAAAATTGTGATATTTAAAAGCTGTCATGATACTACTCCAGCTACCAAACTACTAATGTAAACTTAAATAAAACAAAATCCCTTCCCCTCAAATCCATGTTACAATTTAAAAAAATACTGGATACTGAATAAGGAGTGAAGAAGGAAAGAAAAGATACAGAAATATTTTAATTTTTCCATCTTCTTGGTTTAATAAATGCTTCATCACAGTTTCAGGTAGTTTAAAATATCTTAATGGTTTTCCTTTGGTCTGATAGGTGGAAAGTTAAATATAACCAATTTTACACCTAAAAAGCAAACTGGAGAATATTATTCTAAGCTGTCCCATGTGCTTCTTGTGTATTGATCTAGACAATGGTGATGTAAACAAAGAACCTAAAATGTCCACCTGCCCAACAGTATTTTCCTGAATTTTCATTGTCTCTATAGTATTTGACACTAATGTTTCCCTACTCTAAACATATTCCTCTCAGCTTTCTATGGTTCTATTTTTCCTGTTCTCTTCCTACACCTTTGCTGTCTCTTTCTCTTTCTCCCACTTAAATGGTGCTGTTTTTCAGAGCTGTGTCCTTGACCATCCTTATTTGACGTACTCATTCGTTGCCTCCAGTCCTGAATTGGCTTCACCTTCATAATTCTTGTTTCCTTTGAGAATAGCTTAATGGTTTTTAAACAAGAATAAGATCTTATTGGGCATGCTACCCTTTTCACGTAACAGTATATATAGAATCTCTCCATCAGTGTATTCAAGCACATTGGCTAATAGTCTAAAACTGAACTCCCTCAACAAATGTTTTTTGAGTGCCTGTCACATGTGCCAGATACTGCTAGCTTCTGCAAAGTCAGATGAGACATAGTCTTTGCCCTCAGGGACTCTGCTGACTGGTAGAATAGATACAGCCACAATTCTAGTATTGGATGGTAATATTCTACAGTAGGTACTACACAAGTATAGGAGTTATCCTAACAAATCAGAGCGTGAGGAAAATGTTCTGGAGGCTTTGTGTGTGAGCCAGGAGTTAACTGTGTGAGACAAGGAAGGAAGGAGCTCATCAGAGTGAACAGCCAGTGCAGAGGCCTGGAAACTGAAACGGCATGGCATGTTAATGGTGCTGCCAGAAGTTCCATGTGGCTGGAGCAAAGCAGGCATGTGTGAGAGTTGGAGGAGAGGTAGGCAGGATTAGGATTTTAAATGGCCTTTTGTGTTAAACCAAGACATTTGGACTTTGTCCTGTAAGCTGCAGGGGAGGGGGGAGGGGGCTTTGAGGGGTTTCAATCAGAAGCTTAATTAAAATGTTCAGATTTTTGTTTCAGGAAGAGCATTCTGGTAAACACTGTAAACGATCGATTAGATGGGGGCTCCGGACTAGAGACGGGGAGACCACTTAAGAGGTTATTAACCCAGGAGAGAAACGGTACTTCGATTATGAAGCAGTGGGTCTAGAAACCATAATGATGAGCTGAATTTGAGAGACGTGGAAGAGGTAGGGTCTCTGGCACTTGGTGACCGACTAGCTGGGGTGGCAGGTGAATAGCCTACTACAATCCCCAGCTATCTGGCTTGAGTAACTGGTTAGACGTTAATGTTCACTCATGGAAATATTTTTATTACCTACCCACAACCCTGCTTCTCTCTTTGAGCCTTTAATGGTATCACCATCCATAAGTTATTTTTTTAACTTCGTCAGTAAATACTCCATTACTTTTTTCCTTACATACATATCAAATGAGTTATAAATTTCTGTCCACTTGCCTCCACCTACAAATGCCCTTGGAATCTGTCCCCTCATTCTCCATTGTCACTCACATTATCTAGGCCCTCAACATTCATTGAGGTGTTTGCTGTAGCTTCCTAATTGCTTTTTCTGTCTCCAGTCTCTACCCAATTTATTTTCTATGTTGCCATCAGCTTTTTTCCAAAATCCAGATCTGATGCCATTTTGTGGTTTAAAATCTTTTGCTGGTTCCTTGTCACCTATAGAATAAGGCCCTTTCTGATATTGCCTCATCTTACCCTTGTTTAAAAAAAAAATTTATGATAGTAAATGCAGATTTTTTTAAAAAAGATATTACCTATTTGAGAGTGAGAAAGAGAGAGAGACAGAGAGAGCACGATTGGGGGGGGAGGGGCAGAGGGAGAAGCAGACTCCCCACTGAGCAGGGAGCCTGAGGTGGGGCTAGATACCAGGACCCCAGGATCATGACTTGAGCCGAAGTCAGATGCTTAACTGACTGAGCCACCCAGGAGTCCCCACATCTTACCTTTTTAACTCAGTTCTAGTTCCCTGGTGCCTATGCATCCTACTCACCATGCTGGACATAGGTCTGTACCCTAACCATTCTTTCACTTTCGTGCCTTTGTGCTGTTTGCTTTGCCCACATTGGCCTCCCTGTCCCCTTTTGTCACTGGGCAGAGCCCTATTCATCCTTCAAGATTCAGTTCAAAAAGAAAAAAAGATTCAGTTCAAATATCTTATTTTCTCTTAATATTTTCCCTGAATCAGGCAGGCAAAATTGTTCCTCATTTGTGTTCCGACAGAACGTTACAGGTATTTTGACACTAATATTACTTACCATGTCTTCTTTGGCAATTTGTCTCATTGGCTAGACTCTGGGCTGATTTAAAGCAACAAACAGTACTTCACAGATTTTAGTGTTCTTGGAACCTAACCCCATGTCTGACTATGGTGGGCCTGAATCAGTGTTGAATTCCTGCTTCAGTGCCTTTGTTCCTATCCTCCTTATCTGGATACCTGTAATCTCCCTTCTTCCTGTTCAAAGCTTGCCCATTCTTCAAGGCCCACTTCCTCCATAAAGCCTTCACTGACTAATGTAGCGGTAAAAATTTTAACCACTTTGCTTTGGGGGAAAGGGTTTGCTTTTATTAGTTTAATTCACCATAAAGCTTCCAGGCATTAATTATTATTAAAAACAGGAACTATTTGTACTGTCTTGTATTATGCTTCTTTCAACAGTCCTACTAACAGATTGTTTTATATATTTTTTAAAGATTTTATTTATTTTAGAGCGCGAGTGGTGGGGAGGAGCGGAGGTACAGGGAGAGAGAGAGAGTACTAAGCTGAGCTCAGAGCCTGATGCGGACCTCAATCCCTGGACCCTGAGATCATGACCTGAGGTGAAATCAAGAGTTGGAAGTTCAGCTGACTAAGCCACGCAGGCACCCCTCTATTGACAGATTCTTAACTACGTCTCTCCACCCCACCTCATCCCCAAAAAAACCTAAGTACCTCCCAATCTTGTTTGAATACAGGCCTTTTATTTATGTATTTATTAAGATTTTTTTATTTATTTGAGGGGCGCCTGGGTGGCTCAGTCATTTAGTGTCTGCCTTTGGCTCAGGTCATGATCCCAGGGTCCTGGGATGAAGCACTCATTAGGCTCCCTGCTCAGCAAGGAGTCTGCTTCTCCCACTCCCCCTGCTTGTGTTCCCTCTCTCACTGTGTCTCTCTCTGTCAAATAAATAAATAAAATCTTAAAAAAAAAAAGATTATTTGAGAGCAAGCGTGCGAGTATGTGGGGTGGGGAGGGGCAGAGGGAGAGAGAGAAAGAAATTCAAGCAGATTGAATGCTGAGCACAGAGCCCAACGCGGGTCTTGATCTCATAACCCTGAGACCACGACGTGAGTCACAACCAAGAGTTGGATGCTCAACCAACTGCATCACCCAGGTGCCCCAAATACAGGCCTTTTAAATGAGGAACATAGCAGTTCTTTGATACAAAAAGTAGTGACCCCTGGAGTACTGAGCTTTTTTCCTGTAGTAGTTGAGTATCATATCTTTTGTTTTTGAGAATAGATTGGTATTTCTTTTGCTTTTGTCATTTTGATTGGGGATGGTTAGAAGCGGCCTCTGTTTCATATGCCTTTGGATTATGGTATCTGGTATTACCTTTGAACCTAGTGCTAGCTATAGTGAGGGGCAGTGTACACAGTGTAGTTGATTAATTTATTTTCCTGATGTGTGTGTTCTTTTTTTCTTTTCTCATGATAGTGATATATTTATCTCTTTTGAACTACATCCTCAGTCTTGTTAGCATTCATGTAAAATAGAGTACCTAAAAGTACCTGTAGTACAGTTGGGTATATAGAGTGACACACCCAAGATCCCTAACCTATTCATTGGTCCTGCTGAGTATTTTCCGTGTGTGTGTGTGTGTGTGTATCATTTTCTCATATATATATATATATATATGAGGCCTTCATAGAAAAACACTGAATACCTAAAGAAGCCATTAGACTCAGGGGCTTATATATGATTTTAATGAAGAGTGGTAAGTTTGTGGAGGAGTGACAAGAAAAAAAGGAGTGGGGTTGGGCTTTAGGGGCAGTAAATTGTGACCAGGTAAAAACACTGGGGGAAACTAATGGAGGATAAGGATTACTTACTACTATCTCCAGAGGTAAGATTTATTTTCCCCTTCCTGGCAAGGAAGAGCGGAAAGGGAGATACTTTCACAAAGAGAATTTCATGCTCTGCATTTAGGAAGAAGCAGGGAGGGCAGAGACTTTTTCTTGGTTCTGTTTTTTCTCAGTTGCGTTCAGCTCAAAATAATCTTTATGTAAAGGGAATATTTTGGGGTGACACAGTCTGATCTCCTTTAAGATTATTAGAATCTAAAACTTGGATGAAAGGAGTTAACTATAAGGGGTGAGAGGTAATTTTTGTGAAATCGTACATGTACAGCATTTTATTAAAAACACGTTGAGGGGCACCTGGGTGTCTCAGTTGGTTAAGCGTCCAACTGTTGGCTTCAGTTCATCATGATCTCAGGGTTGTGAGATCGAGCCCTGCATCAGGTTATGTGTTCAGCAGGGAGTCTACTTGAGATT